GTTTTGGTTATGAATTTGCCCCGATAAATACATACATACATATACATATACATATGTACATATGTATCTGTAGTAAATGAAATATAGTATACAATCATTTGTTTTTATTTTTTACTTTAATTTTGTTTACGGATTACGTCGGGTTGTTTTGTTCAGAATTTTTAATTCAATTTGCAGGCATACATACATACATACATATACAGAAACGAATGAAAACAAAAGATAAACAATAAAATACTGGATGCTCTACACTGACAAAAATGATTATGATAAAAGCCTTCACGGCAGATATTCGGTTATATTGTATATATTTCGTATATTGTCTACTTTTGTATTCTTTAGTTTTAATTTCTGAGTAAGCATGTTCAAGAATATATTAGAACTTTTGGTAGTCAAGCATCTATAGCCAATAAATTTCTTAAATATATCTCAGTGTGCACGCTCAGTGCATGCACGGCATGCATGTGCAGAAGTTGTATACGTGTGTGTGTGTGTAAGTTCAGTGTACGTGAGCGTATGTGTGAGTGTGTGTGTTCAGCTTTTGGATTTTTCAACTTATTCCACAATTGTTGACACCAACGCTGCTGCCGTCGCAGTCGCAGTTGCCGTTGCCGTTGCCGTCGCTGCCGCCGGCTTCATTTGCTTTTTAGAGCGCGAATCGTCTGAAGAAAATTTCAGTTGTTCTTTGGAAGTGCGCTCGATAAGTCCAGTGCTGGAAAGAGAAGCCGCAGTTAAAAAACAAAAGAAAAATCTCTGTGTTCGTTGAGTAAACAGTGTCAAAAGTGTTTCGAAAATATTTCAAGCAAACAAATTTTACAAAGTTTACGGTTTATTAAAAACAAATATAAACAATATTCTAAGTTAATAGAATAATAAATAATAAATATGCCGGTCGACATTTGCAGTCAGCAGCAGCATACAAATATGATAAGCTCCCTAAGGTAAAGGCCATATCAAGTTATTTTATAGACTTTTCAATTGATCCCATAAAAGTAGAGTTATTAGATTTCCTTAATCAGAGTGAACAACAATTAGTGTTGATGAGGTGAATGCCAATTACACTCAATCTTAAATATTACAAATCTTTATTAAATATTTATGATACGCGGGCTAAACCCTTAAATCATGCTGCCAATCGAATTAATCAATTTAAACAATAAATGTGGTCTCGCCAAATGGTCAATAAATAAAACATATCGAAATGGCTGTATAAATACTAAAGTTCTCTATTGCATATTTATATACATATATGTATATACAATATGTATACAGGCACGCCTGACCTTTTTCGAACATACCTGACAAACGTGTCCACTTAGCAATTGAATAAAAAAAAAAAAACTGTTGTTTTCTTACATTAAATCAACTTATTGTAGTTGGCATTGAAATCAAGATTATTCTATATAGGAAATCAAAGAAAAGTTGTTTATCTAATAAATTAAAAATCATGATCTGCGCAATTAAAATTACAAGGATTAATTATTATCTCATGTCGCTCTCCAAACAATCTTCTAAAGTGTTTACGTTGTGTTGTGTAATGAAAGCCAATGCGAAAAGGCCTTGTTCCCAAATGGGGGCTGAACGATAAAGCGTTTGCGTTTAAATAAAAAAATTGTTGATAAAAAACGTGTAATAGTACATCAAATTTGTGTATAAAATATATCATTTTAATTAATATTGTTTACTACCAATACAATTTTGTAAAGTATTTAAAATTTATTTTTATTTTTTGTTTCTTTAAATTCATTTAAAATTTGATCGTAGCTGTGATAAAAAACTTATACATATGTATATGTATTTTTATGTATATATTTATTAATGTATGTAATTATTATTGGTACACATACGTACATATGTATATATATGTAAATGCACAGTTTGCATATACTTATTGATATGTATATTTCTGATCTTGCTACGACCTCTATATACTTGCAAAGAAAAATCTATAAAACTTGTCATGAGCTGTTGCTCTTCATGAGAATAATTAATCGCATATATGCATATGTACATTTGTATATCAGTATATGTATAATTGAAATAAATTCAATTTTTGTTTTATTTTGCAGCGGAACAACAGATACCTCTTTGTCGCTTAACGCACTATCCTTGACGTCTGCTCTACCGCCGACAGATCCCGATCATCCACATCACAACATGAACAAATTGTGTCGTCAAGTGTCAATTGAATCACCCGGACCGGGTGTTAAGAATTGTGTTTTTAATTTCTTTGTGCCCATCGAGGATACGCCAGCACATGGCGCACGCATCAAGATCGTCTGCGCAGGCGCCTGCTATCGTCGCCGCGATCGCGCCAACTCGATAACCAGCGTATCGTCTGTCTCGTCGGAGCTGAGCGACTACTGTCCGTCGGTGACGTCGATGTCATCGCCGGCTCATCAGGGCATACGTGAGGGCTCATTCTTTCCGGGCTTTGAGGTGGCGGGAGTGATTGAGTCGCTGGGCTCCGAGATCACAGAGGCCAATAACTGTGGCCTGCGCATTGGACAGCGTGTTATTGTCTATCCATTCGATGAGACTCCTGCCGGCTATGCAGAACTCCTGGTGGTGCCCGATCTGAAGTACATTGTCCCGATACCGGATAATTTGCCCATGGAGGAGGCAGCGATGCTGCCGACAGGTGCATTGCTGGCCATGCACGCTGTATTCAAAGCACAAGCCGTTGTCACGGAAATCCTGAATCAACGCGCCGAAACAGATCCCAATAAGAAGTGCAAGATCTTGATTGTTGGCACCGGCGGTTTGGCCCTGTGGGCAGTTCGCATTGCAACCTATCATTTCGCATCGACTGGTGCACACAACGTGGACATCACAGTAGCCAGTCTAAGGGACGAGGGTTTCCGTCTAGCTACAGAGATCAAGAAGTGAGTCTATATAAACATTTCCAGCCAAGACTCTAAACTAATTAAATAATTTTCTTATCTGCAGTGTCAGCGTTGTGCAGTGGAACGAGTGTCTGTACGAGCCGCAACTAATTGAGCGCACCAAGGATGTGTGTGGCGGTCCTGTGGACGTGGTCATTGATTTTGGCACAACTTCCAGAAGTCTGCATCGCTCCATGCACTGCCTGTCCAAGGGCGGTGTTGTGCTCATCAGCGAGGAGGTGGCCGAAAAGCTGTTACCAAAGTTCTCTAGGTTATCGAATGAGTACCAGCAGGAGATAATACCAATATCGAATGGCACCGTTGAGCAGCTCGCTGAGCTGGTGGAGCTGGTGGCTAGCAGAAAAATCGAGCCGCCACCATATTCCGTATTCCCATGCGAGCAGGCCGCCGAGGTTATACAGAAACTGATCAATTCCGAAATACCCGGACGCGCCATTCTACGCTTCCATGATATTGAATAGATCCTTAAAGTCTATCAAAGCATTAACTCATCTTAACTTAAATGAATATCTCTGTTAGTTTTACTCACAAACACACACAGCCACTCACCCACTCACACACACACACACACACACACATAGACACACAACATTTGGCGTAAATTAGCGCAGCAAAAACACCTTTACAAGATGTGCTTAATATTCGTAGCAAGTATTCAGTTTTTGTAATAGCTATTTGGATTAGTTTTCAATTGTTTCGAAAACAACCAGTGATTTTTCATTAATTTTTTTTACACATTTTAATTTATTAAGCATTGTTTAGTATTATAATTTGTATGTATATATGGATTGTGATTGATTTTAATTTAAGCAACAAAAATTAACGACTTGATTTACATTCATATTTCGTAGTTCACGTCGTTTTATGCTTCAATGTTGATTTATTTAATTGGACTTTACAAATCACATGCCATTTAAATAGAAGCGAAGTAACAAAAAGAGTTCAGAATAAATGTTATATAAAATATTAAAAAAATACAAAAAAAAGTGAAAATTGTTATGCATGCAATGCAAAAATGTTTGATTCGATTTGCTTAATATCTGTACTCATTACGTACCCAAGAAAAAATTGACATTATATTCAACTACCATTAACCATAAATAAAAGCGTACGCATACCAATATACCACCAATCTACAAGCCTCTCTTCCGCTACTCTCAGTTAACAAGACGTCTTCTTCTTGCCATGCTTAATCTTTAAATGGTTGTAGAGTCCAGAGTGCTGATTAAATTTAGCATCACACTGTGAGCATTTGTAGTTTTTCCGTTGCTGATGACGTAGCTTGTGGCGGGTCAGTTCTTGAGAGCGCCGGAATGTCATATAGCATATGCTACAGACAAAGTCTCGCTGCTCTGAGTGGGAACGCATATGGTCGTTTAAGTGGGTTAATCGAGCATAGTTCTTGGGGCACTTGCTGCATAGGTATGGTCGTAATTTATCGTGTGACACGCGTAAATGATTCTGAAGCTGATAGTGCTCCTTGTATATTTTTCCACATATATGACACATTGAACCCTCTTTCTTAGATTCCCGCTTGCAAGACTTTTGCTCTTTTGGTGCTTCGACAGGGTTTACAATCGTGTCACCTATGGTACTTTCCAGATTTAGCCCAAAATAATACTCTTGTAATATCTCATCTTCAGCCAATTGTAGTTCCGACTTAAATTATAAGAAGAATAATTGCAATCATTTAGAAACTCCATTATTCCTTTTCGTTTATTACCTCAGTGCTGGAAAGCTTCAAAGACCAATCTTCTTGTACGTTAGAAGTTTGTCTTAAGGTTGGCTTAAGTAGTTCTTCTTCTTCAAACGAATGTATGCGCGCCAAATGTTTTTGAAATTGGGTTGTGGTGTAAAACAAACTGTCGCACATAAAGCATTTTATGGCTAATTCCTTATACGGCTCTTTTGATAAAAAGAAACCACAAGTCCATAAATCCTCCATTGTCAACTCCTCCTTAGCTCCTTCAGGATGATTCATTAATTATTCAGTGTTGAGGGAGTTAAATACCAGGGCTGCGTACTTTATAACAAGTTCATCGATACATCGTGTTGAAAGTATCGATCGTTCAACCAGAATTTGTTTTTGCGCCAAAACGAATGTGCTGCGCGGCAAACTGCTGATTTTATTGTTGTAGAAAAAAAGACAAAGTAGAGCGCAACCCATTTTTTGAATAGCTGACAACGAATAATTGCTTGACTACATACACAAATCGTGATGGTTAATAACGAAAATGCAAATATCGCTGCTCAGCAGGTCATTTGGATCGGCAGCCACGAGCAGAACACATTTATTAAAAGTCTGGAGCATAAGAATGTATATTTTTACAAAAAGTGCGTCTACGGTCCATTAACATTGTCAGTGGGTGACTATATACTGGTGGCCAATGCAGATTCAGCCGAGCCCGACACAGTAGACGGCTGCGACATCGCTAAGATCTTACATCTGTACGAGCTGCGGGAAATGACCGACAAAGAACCCTGTCGAGCTATAGTACAGTGGTACTCCCGCCCGCAGGCCATACCGCATAGGTTCTTCGATGTGGACAATTTGGAAATAGACTTCGGAGTTGAGGTTATTGAGGAGCATCGCTATTACGACAACGACGTGGCTTTGGGTTGCATATTGCGCAAGTGTCTCGTACTGGAAGGAACCTCCGATCAGTCTGCACAGCAGATCATACAAAAATATAAGATCCCACGCAACTGTCCCATGTTTGTGTCTCGCTATAAGTTTCTAAAGGTAAAGAACACATATCGGCTTATACCGCTTGAAATTCAGCTCGATGGAACGGAGTCGGCGCGCAGCAGGCGCTCGATCCGAGAACCCACCTCCGCCTCAGCCCGCAAATCCGTTTCACGCAGACGCGTCTCCACAGCTGCAGAGAGCCAAACACCTGTCGAATTCGTCGATGTCAATTATTACAATTGCGAGAACAAGGTGTCGCCCATCAAAATTGTGGGCGGCCGCAGTGTGGTGCGTCTGTCGGAAAAGAAGAAGAGCAAAGCAACAGACGCAGCTGAGCCGGAGATCAATGCCAACTATTTAATGGCCTCTCCATTGACGGAAAAAAATCAAAAAGTTATGACACCCAAATCACGAGCCTCGGCAGCACGTCGCAACTTGAACTTGAGCCTGGACAAGGGAGCAGACACCACAGCTGATTCGGACTGCTTGAACTATTCGATTGTACATCAAACGCCAGATCCCAAGACTCCTTCAAATGATATGAAGATCAAGCTGCGCGTCTCCGAGCGTAGAAAATCGGTGCGCCTCGAATCACTGGATAATGATTGTGATCCTTTAGATGTCGCCCAAGATACGCCCAACAGCAAGCAGCGACGCAAGCGTCTGGGTGTTACCAATGGAGATATATATCATACGCCCACCAAGAAGTCCAAGGAGCTGCTGGAGCCCGTAGGCACGGACGTGACGCCCTCCACGCGTCGCAAAAGTATTTTGAAATCCGCAACGACCCGCTTGGGTAAGTAGCCATCTACCTAACTTAACACTTTTACTAACGTTACCTCTTCTTTGCAGCCGAGGGCACGCCTAGGCGCAGCATTCAGCTGTCCAATATTGTGGAGCAGCGCATATTCAATGACAACGAGATTATTTCAACGCCTAAACGAAGTCGTTCGAAACTCGCAGACGAAGTGGTCGATGAAGATTACACGCCCAAGAAGTCAAACCAAAAGACGCCCACGCGACCGCGTAGATCGAGCACCACCAAACAGCCGTCGGCCACAAAGCTGAAAGAACAAGCTCCCTTGACGCCATCGCAGAAGCTAAAAAAGATACGCTCAGGCGAGTTGAGCCCCAGCATGGAGCAGCGCGAACAGCCAGTGGATGAGAGTCGCAAGTCGCAGTTGCAGCTGGCACGCGAGCAGCTCCACGTTTCGGTGGTGCCCAAGAGTTTGCCATGCCGTGAGAAGGAGTTCGATAACATCTACAGCTTTCTCGAAGGCAAGATTCAGGATCAGTGTGGTGGCTGTATGTACGTCTCTGGTGTGCCAGGCACAGGCAAGACGGCAACTGTCACTGGTGTTATTCGAACTCTGCAGCGGCTGGTTGAGAAGGATGAGCTGCCCGCCTTTGACTTTTTGGAGATCAATGGCATGCGCCTTACTGAGCCACGGCAGGCGTATGTGCAGATCTACAAGCAATTGACAGGCAAAACGGTTTCATGGGAGCATGCACACACGCTGCTCGAGAAGCGATTCACTACGCCAGCACCGCGTCGTGTGACAACCGTGCTGCTGGTGGATGAGCTGGACATACTGTGTAATCGGCGGCAGGATGTCGTCTACAATCTACTTGACTGGCCAACCAAATCGGCGGCGCGACTGGTCGTGGTCACCATTGCCAATACTATGGATCTGCCCGAGCGTTTGCTGATGGGTAAGCAGACACACACTTTTCATATCTCTCCAAGCAGTAACTAATCTCTGTATAATACCTTAGGCAAGGTTACGTCGCGTCTGGGTCTCACACGTCTCACCTTCCAGCCATATACGCACAAACAGCTGCAGGAGATTGTGACAGCGCGTCTGGCCGGCTCTGAGGCTTTCAAGGGCGAGGCAGTACAGCTGGTGGCCCGCAAGGTAGCCGCCGTCTCTGGCGATGCACGGCGGGCTCTGGACATTTGCCGACGTGCTACGGAAGTCGCTGACACAGCCGACGCACAGCCGGGTGGAATCAAGTGTGTTACTATGCTGCATGTGCAGCAGGCGCTGGCCGAGATGATAGCCAGTGCCAAGGTGCAGGCCATCAAAAACTGTTCGCGTCTGGAGCAAATCTTTCTGCAAGCCGTTGCAGCTGAGGTCACACGCACCGGCGTCGAGGAGACAACATTTATGGGCGTTTACACACAAATCGAGACGATAGCAGCGTTTATGGGCGTGGCACTGCCAGCGCCAGGACGTGCACTGCATCTATGCTCAAAGCTGGGCGCCGAGCGCTTAATAATCTCAGAGCACTCGCGTCACGATTTATACCAAAAGATCTTGCTGAACGTCAGCGCCGACGATATACACTACGCGTTGCGTGTGGAGAGCAATTAGGATTAGATTTTAAAGCTTTTAAATTATTATTTTAATTAAGCGTCATGTTTAAACAATTTAAAGTACAAACTCGTTGATAGGAATACCAAATAGAATACCAATACAGTATAACAGTCGTACAGCACTTTGGGTGAAAAGACGGAATAGATAAATAGATGATAGCGGAAAACTAGCATCAGACAGAGGTAAAAAGCAACTGGTAACAATACGAGTGCCGCATACAGTGGCATCACCAGCGTATCGATTGCCCTCGCATACGGCGGCTGGAGTTGAATGATGCCAACGCTGCGGAGATCCGTGCGCAGAGTATGTACTATCAGGTAGAGGAAGGAATGTATTTCGGCGCTGTAGGTGTTCAGCGTGACAAAGAAGGCGACAATGCCAGGGTTATAGTTGGTCTGGCCCAGGTAGCCGGGATTCAGATCAATGGTCGACAGGCTGTTCGAGTTGCCCTGATAGAAGTAAAACATTCTGGCTATCACAAGGGTCATGATTATTTTGTACACATGAACCACGCGCACGGAGAACTTCCGGGCCGTGGAGCCGTACGCGTCGCATAGCTTGTATGTCTCGTCCAGTGTGATGAGCATCGTGGGCAGCAACACAATATTTTGCACCTTGTACAGCAATGCGACTAGAATCAGCGAGCATGTCATATTCGTTTGGAGCAGCTTTAGCAGATTACTTTTGGGCCGCTCATCCAGCAAACTCTTTCCGCTGCTCTGTTGCGGTAAGACCGTACGATAGCCAAGGACAAAGACTAGAGCCACGCAGCACCAGAAGAGCACCAGCACGGGCAGAAGAATGCGGCCTCTGCAGTAGAGTGAAGATTAATATGCTATCAATTGCTTTATATCCATAACTTACACCATATAGGAAGGCAGCTCCACGAACTTCACCTGACCATTCAGGCCACGGAAACAGTAGACTAGGACGAAGGCAACGCCGTTGAATATCGTCTGCGGCGTGTTCGTGAACTTGCGCAGGCGTGCCCAAAACATTAACAGCGAGAACAACATCAGTGTGCTCTTGATGGCCGACAGTCTGTGTAGATAGCGCATCAGTACGAGCAGCAGGAGCACCACAAAGATCTTCCGTTGCTGCCAAAGACATGCTGAGGCAATTTTGTGCAAATGTCGTCCATCCAGCTCCACATTCGCTTTGGTGATGCGGCGACGCAGTGTCTTGAATGTAGTCAGCAGAAGCAGCGTGTTGCCCAGATAATACCAGGTCTTATATTCATATTCAATAAATGAGGACGAGCCTAGTGTACCCATGCGTATAGCGAAGCATAATAGCAAGGAAGTCGGCAACGGAATTGATAGTTTCAAGCGACGAGCATAAAGAGGAGGCAAGGCGATTTTGATTAAAGCCTGGATTACATCAATGCTCAGATAAATGGAGGCGACAATGGGCACCAGCAAGAGTAAGCTATTCAGCATGGAGCTGGTCAGTACTACATCCAGCAGGTGGCAGACTACATTGAGAAGAACTCCAATTACCAGAGAGAGCAGCAGCTGAGCCGCTTTAAAGTTATGCAAACGTAATTTCTCCGAGGCAATGTCCAGAAACAAAACGCTCAGTAAAAGGTGCAGGGCGCTCTACAGAGGAGAAGAAACAGTTAAATAAAATATTAAGTTTGCATAGGATTATTTTTCAATACGTACGGCTGTTGTCAGTATCAGTCCCACGGCTATAAATCCGTAATCAAATTTCACTAACGACTCTGACAGCTGGGCGGAAATCTCACGGGCTACGCGCAAATAGTTAAGCTTCGCATTTTGATAGTGCACATTGCTAGCTCCGCTGCCGTCTCCGACCCGGAGCGGCTTCAGCAGCTGTTTGTGGAGCAGCGTGGCATTTTGATACCAATGATAGTAGTCTACAAATCACAATAATTAGCTGCTGGTTGACAATCGTTCATAACTGACCGTACCACTGCGCCGGACACTATCGTGGCCAAACTTAACGCGTGCCTTATTCAGCAGATGATGGGCATTGTAGAAATAGGCGTACATTTGGTCCTCCAGCGTTAATGACTGCAGCATCTCTGGTATCAAGCAGCCAATAGACATCGTTGGTATTTCCACAGATAATAGCACTGCCAGCGTTGGCGTCAAATCGATTTGATTATAACGCTTGGTGCTGGAACTAAGATATGTATATAATTGGGAAATATCATACTCTCTAATAAGATTTTTGCTTATTTACGAATATTTGCTGCAGTTCTTGCTATACAAATAGAGTGGGACTGTGGTTTCAGCGGGCGTATTGCCGCCGTGACCACCGCCATCAGCCATGCCATGATCACCGGTCAGCATCAGCAAATAGTTATCCATATTCTATAAATAGACCGTGAAAATATTTGAATATATTTGCTTTACTGCTTTCAAAATACATGTTTGTGCTATCAGTATGCTCAATATATTATCATAGATAATAACATTAAAAGCCCCACAGCAGTTAGCTTCCCATTTCTTGAGTATTTCTCTTAAATACCTTCTCTACGTTTTTCTGGTAGGAATTTTCTTCTTATTAGTATTTTCTTTAGATATTTCCCTTAAGAATTTCTTCGAAGCATTTCATCTAAGTTTTTTATGCTTATCTGAACGAACACACACTCCACATCGCTTTACTGCACTGCACAACTGACCCCCACCAGGCCTGGACGACTGAAGAAATGCTGCTGCTGCTGCCCTTTATATAGGGCGACCTTTATTGAAAGCCTCAGTCGCTCTTAAATGGTAGAGTTCGTTATAGAGATCGTTGCAGTCGAGCTATAAAGGAACCAATGGGAACACTCTGCTTCACCAATGACTAATGAGAACATACTCTGCTGCTTCAAGCAGTCTAGCTGCCTCTTAAATATAAATACCAAATGCATACATATAAACAGCATAAAATGATCTAGTGTAGCTCTTTTTCACCTCTTGATTTTCTAAAGCAGACAGACTGTGAGGTAGACAGGGAGACAGACAGAGAGACACATATACAGACAGACATTCGAACAAATATATAGGCAATAAGAATATGTAAATTAATATTTATAAATTTAAGACAGCAATTTGTTCTGTTCTATAGTTCTCTGAAGGACTAGGACTTTTGCACAGTCTGCCCATATTCAAACTTGCCTTATGATCCAATATCTTTTTCACTGCATCGTCCATTTCCCTGAGTTTAGTTTCAATCCGTGGACTGTCATTGCCCTCAACATGGCCAATGTGATCTAGGCCCAGATAGTGCAAGATCAATAGCTTCCAATCCGTTTTCTCGAGCTCCTCCGCCAGTGCACTTGTCACAGTTCGGTCGCCCTCATAGAAATCGTTCACGTAAAACGAATCATTGTTGGCTACCTTACGTGTGAATTCACTTGGAAACAGTTGCACCCAAGTGTGATCCCCGATAAAGGAGATAACAGCTTGCCGTTTTTTTAGTCGATGCAGCAGCGAATCGTCCAACTGCTCTGTGTGACCTACATTAAGCGCAATGTCTATGAAATTGGACAATGTGCCGGTAGTGATACTCTTTAGCCGAGGCATGGTCACAGTCGGTATGTCAACGTGCAGAGAGAGCTTAAGACACGCCCTCTCTTCAACCGTTGGCATAGTTTGTTCAGTGGGGAAATCATCGCGGAGAGCATCTATCAAGAATAGTATAAAGGATTCGTAGCTGGCCGGCGGTGGATTCAGTCTGAAATTTATTGTTGAAATGAGTACATGTGGCAGTAAAAAAGCATGCACTGATATAACATATCAACTGATAATCAACTCACTTTTCACCATGCAGTGTTGTCGGCCGGTCAATGGATACGGACGGTTCCTTTTCTGCAACAGAGTATGAAGCCGGGAAGAAGCCTATCAAAAAGAGCACAGCGCCGCCCAGAAACAGTGTTAGCATGTAGAATGTGTATGCAAGGCGACTTCTGTGTTCCTCCATTGCAATTTGTGTTTCTTAACCATTCCCAAGAGCTAGCTCCTGTACTGTAGCCTGATATGTAAACAAATACTGATGAACACAGTGGGCTGCCAGATGTTCTGCTTCGTTGGCAGCTTTTGGCAATAATAACTAGTTCCGGTTCGCAAATAAGTCTTAAAAAACTTGACAACATATATATACATACATACATTACTTAAATAGCCGATATCTACATTAATATTAACAATAAGGAACTGTGTGCATCTTTATATGAATTCTTATAGTACCATTTCATAAAAAATATTTTTAAAACAGCTGATTTGACTTAGATTACAAACGGAACTGATAAAACAATCTGGCAGCTTTGCAACCAGCTGGTGATTGCTTTACATTTTGTTAGATTGTTTATATTTTGTATTTCAAATTAAAATGGAAACTTGCGGTGTTATTATGAGCAGAGTCGGAGAATTTGAGAATTTTCTTATGCGTTGCTCATATTGCACGATAGATATGGAGATTGACAAATGGCAGGAATTTGTTCTCCACTTTCGGAATACGCACAGCACGAAGTCGACCGATTCAGAATATTTGCACATGGAAAAACTAGCCGCAAATGAAGACAGCACTGAAGAAAAGCTAGTGAACATACCTACTGAAGTGCAGCCTGTTGAAGAGACGAATGTTTCTAGACCCTGTTCAACATTATCCGATGCAAGTTTCAGTGAAAATAGTTCAGCAAAAAGTGAATCCACAGCACCTACGGAGAATGATGAAGTGGATATGTCTAGTTCAAATACGCCCACGGACAAGGTAAGTAAATATACCTATGGTTATTAAATATGTACTTATACGACTTCTATTTCAGTTTAAACCATCATTTTTTCGACGAGATCCACGCACACTGAAGTTTATTGAGGCTTATAAGAGTCAGCCTTGCCTTTGGAATCCTGGCTGTAGTACATATAAGGATCACATTGCTTGTAAAGCCGCATATCAGCAGTTAATAATGGAGCTAGATGCTCAGATATCTGTTGTCTTCACAGAGCATTCTTTGAAGGCAGCCATAAAGAAGTTGCACTTACAGTATAATATGGTTGAAAAGCGTGTAATGAACGGTAACCAAAAACCAAATTCCGTGGCCTTTAATCATTATACAAGCTGTAGCTTTCTGAAAGCAAGCGAAGATCAAATGCATGCCTTTAAAAGTTCAGTAATTCAGGTGGTATTCTAAGCTGTGCTTTTCTTTATGCTTTGAATGGTTTATTGAAACTCTTTTGCTTTCAGTTGAACTTTTGTAAGCGCAATAAGGTCACCACAGATTTTATACAGTTGTATGCCAACTTTCCCCAGCTTTACGACTGCAAGCATAAGGAATTCTCAAGCATAAGCTCTCGTAAGCAGGCCTATGAAGCAATTGCAGCTAAGATTATAGTGCCACACGGTGGAATTAACTGCGATGACGTTTACCTAGCCATACAGTGCCTTCGTCAGTGGTACTACAAGAGTACGAAACATGCAATTAAATCGACTAACGAGTCTGAACTCTCTTATTTGAAAGCCTGTGCCTTTTTGCCACCTAAGATGTTCAAGCAAAAGTTAATTTGTGAATACTGCCAGCAGGAAACTTCTTCGGATCATGTGCTTCAAGCGCATTTGTGGAAGGTTCATAATATCGGGGAGCTACCCTTCAAATGTACATCGTGTGACCGAAGTTTTGTGGGACGTGCGGAACTATCGACGCACGTGCAACGTTTCCATATTGGAAAGATATATAAGTGCAACTATTGCGAGAGCACTTTCGCTGTTAACTCAGATCTACGTCTACATATACGTATACACACCGGAAACAATATACTCTGTGAGCTATGCGGCAAGGCATTTAGACTGAGATCTCAACTAAAGCTGCATGTCACCGCTATTCATACAAAAATTCGAGCATTTAAATGCACTATGTGCCCGAAGGACTTTCTTAAAAAGGTCGACCTATCCGACCACATAAAGAGTCACTTAAATATTCGGGATAAGATTTGCACAACATGTGGTAAAGGATTTACCAGTTGCCATTCACTAATTCGACATCGACAAATACACTCGGAAATTAAAAAGTTTGCCTGTAAGCTTTGTGATGCTAGGTTTTCACAATTTGTCGGTCTCAACTCGCACATGAAACGTACACATAATATTGTTCGAAGTAATGCACAAAAATTAGCAGACACTTTACCCCCTGAATCGTTAAGTTAATTTACTATTTTTCTAAAAATAAACTTTAATACATACATGTAAAAAAAGCTGTTGTCGAGATCTTGTGAACTCTTCTAGCCCTTGCTCAAAGAATCAGCACATGCATACATATATGTACATATAAAGGCGCACGGGCTGTCTCTCTGTCTGCTAGCAAGAGATGAAGAAGAAATATAGATCATTTAAGTTGTCTATATGTATGCATTTGGTATTTGTATTTAGTATAGGAAGTTAGACTGCTTGAAGCAGAAGAGCATTGTTCTCATTGGTCATTGGTGAATCAGCAGAGAGTGTTCCCATTGGTTCCTTTATAGCTCGACTGCAACGATCTCTACAACAAGCTCTACTATTTGAGAGCGACTGAGACATCGAGTAAAGGTCGCCCTACATAAAGGGCAGCAGCTGCAGCATTGCTTGAGTCGCCCAGGCCTGGTGGAGGTCAGTTGTGCACTGCTAAACATTTGAGAGCGGGGCTTAACATTTGAGAGCGACTGAGGCATTGAGTAAAGGTCGTCCTATATAAAGGGCAGCAGCTACAGCATTGCTTCAGTCGCCCAGGCCTGGTGGAGGTCAGTTGTGCAGTGCTAAACATTTGAGAGCGGGGCTTAGCATTTTAGAGCGACTGAGGCATTGAGTAAAGGTCGTCCTATATAAAGGGCAGCAGCTACAGCATTTCTTCAGTCGGTCAGGCCTGGTGGAGGTCAGTTGTACAGTGCAGTAAAGCGATGTGGAGTGTGTGTTCGTTCAGCTAAACATTTGAGAGCGGGGCTTAACATTTAAGAGCGACTGACGCTTTGAGTGAAGGTCGCCCTATATAAAGGGCAGCAGCTGGAGCATTTCCTCAGTCGCCCAGGCCTGGTGAGGGTCAGTCGTGCAGTAGAGTACAGTGCAGTACAGTGAAGTGAAGCATGAATGACTTGGATGAAATACATACATACAAATACATGAAGAATTGGAGGACTTAGAGCAAATACTTAGAAATAATACTTCTGTCTGTTGTATATGAACATTTCAAATATAATTATACCCTGATTTCCCACTTTCGATCATGAAATCGAAAAAGGCGCCCATATTATCGATATGCTTGCGAGTCGTATCAATTTTTAGCATTGCACAGCACTAGTCTAAAAGCAGCTGTGTCAATTACATACATATATTCAACTTGACGTAAATAAGTATTTTTGAGTTTGACTGTCTAGAACCGTTAAAATGGAAATATGCGGCAGCATATTAACAAATAGCAACTACACAATATTCCAGTTAAAGTGCATGTATTGCCCAATCGAAAGCAACCTGCAAGACTGGCATCAGTTTGTTCTGCATACACGCCAAGCTCATCCTATCGACGATGCCGATGGTTCACTAAGCGACCAATGTGAAAATGAAGAATGCCCTAAGGAAGAGCCCGACGAGCCTTACGAAGTCAGCAAAAATGTAAAAGAGGAAAATCCCACATGGCAGCAGGATGATGAAGAGTTTTATGTAGGCAATGCGCACGTCCTAATACTTTCTGATTTATACGTATTGCATTTTATTCATTGCACAGTTCACTGACGATGCCATGAAGCAAGAAGTAGAGCCACATTCACCCATAGAAACTGATTCTCATATGTCTCCGACTACTGCTAATATTGTAGAATCCAATGATGAGGATAGATACACCGATAGGAAGGAATCTGAAAGTCAGGAATTGGACTGTATGCAAGTAAATAAATTCAAGATAACTTTTAATGCAGCAACAATCTAATCTAACGTATGACATAGAAAGTTGAAGAGGACACATCAGATTATAGCGATAGCTATATTGACGATGAAGATATTGAAGACGATTACACGGACTCGGATGATCAACCAGACGAAGAGAAGCCGACAGGTAGCAGAGCTAATCCCATGACTCTAAAGCGCAAGGTATATAAAAATATGATATAATATAAATATACAGATAATAATAGTTAGATATCACAAATTACAGCTGAAAATATCATTTACGAGGCAAAACCCGCGAGTACTGCATTTCATCGCTGAAGTCAAGAATCATCCATGCTTGTGGAACCCGAACGATAAATTTTTCAAGACTAAGATGGCCGAAAGTGAAGCTTACAATGAGATAATTGCAGGAATGGATAAAAAAGTGAATGTGTTATTCACTGAATATGAGTTGAAAAAATCGTTAAAGCAATTGTTTAAGCAATATACAATGGCAAGGCAAATGGCGTCGGAAGGCCAACTGACCGGAGTAGCTGCCCGTTACCTACGCAAATGTAAATTTCTGTCGATCAACGATTATTCTGAGGAAAGTGTAGCCGACGACGAATCCAAATCAGACGTAATACAGGTGCGCGCGAAATGGAAACTCCTTTATCCTAATTATCTAATCTAATGTGCAATATATTTTAGCTAAACTTCAAGGAGATTAATCATATGACAACGACTTTTATCGAGACCTATGCCAGTTTTCCAGTGCTATATGACAGTTCCGTACCAACCTTCAAGTCGCTGGATGCACGAACTCAGGCGTACATTGAGATAGCTCAACTGTTGGCGCCAGAGATTCACGTGAATGAAACTGAAGTTTATATGGCCATAATGCGTCTGCGTAAATGGACAAATATGACTTTGCGGCGGGTGAAGTCAAAGGAATTGCGGCGCCCTTGCTCGAAATCGGAGCTACATTATCTGCAATTGTGCAGCTTTCTTCCATCCAAATCGGAAAGCTTCGTCATTACCTGTGAACTGTGCAATAAACGGTTCTTCCTTGATTACAGTCTACGTGCCCATATGGTCAAGGTGCACGATATGGGTGAGCTGCCCTTTCTTTGCTCGCAGTGTCCGCGTCGCTTCGAGAAGGCGCATGATATGGAGCGACATAAGTTGCGGCAGCATTGTGAAAAGTTGCTTAAGTGCGAATACTGTGATAGCACGTTTTCAATGAAAACTGATCTGACAGTCCACACTCGTGTCCATACGGGTGAAAAGCCATATGTATGCGAGCTGTGCGGCAAATCCTTTAGACTGAAACTGCTGCTCGATTATCATATTAACGGGTTTCATTTGAATCTGCGGCCATTTGAATGCGATATATGTAACAATACGTATCGTAAGAGAGTCCAGTTGAAGAACCACATGAAAGGACATTTGAATATAAAGGATAAGAAATGTGAAAAATGTGGAGCAGCGTTCTCCTGTCCAACCATCCTGTCTCGGCACCGCAAAACTTGCTGTGGTGTTAAAGGATTAAGAAAATAACCTAAATTTGAATTCTTCATATACATATTAATTATTTTACATATATTGTTAATTCATTTCTAAATAAATAACGAATTTTATTGCCTATAAAGGATTTTATTTTTAGTCTTGTGCAGCACTGGCCAGCAGCTGATAATGTTATCGATAACAATTTATTTTTTTATAAGACCTGCAGCCGGCACAAATAATTGTTTATTCGCGAAAAATGCATAGTAAATAATAATAAAAACATGGATACACAAATTTTAGATGCCGTAAATGACTTTCTGGTATGAATAAATTAAATACTATTGATCTTTAACTAATATGCTCACTAATTCTCACAGAAAGTAGACTCCATAGATGAGGCGTTTGTGAGCGTCATTGTGTTCAAGTCTGAAGATGATAAAGCCACCAATTTCACAAATAATTTGAGTAAGTAGGATTTTAAGATGGTGAAGCATGTATCGAATATGCATTCATTACAGTTACCGCATTTGGCAATGTTGAGAACCGAGAACAGGTGCTGCGCGCATATTTGCTTCGCGCTGCGGAAGCACCAAGCTACCACATGCAGGTGCTGATGGCGGCGCTACCCAAATTGGTGGATGCACATCACATTACAGCAAGGTGGGTTAGTTTTATTTAATCTAAAATCAATATTAAACGAATTGACTTCGTAGAATGCTCTGCGACAAGGTGCTGTCCTGCGAGAAACTTGACTATGAGCGGAAGACCTTTTGGATAGAGAGTTTTCGGCTAATCAAGAAAGTTATTTCGCATGTCGACTACAAAGGCGTACGAGAGATCATGAAGGCCTGCAGGGAGAAGGCCCAATGGTTCCCTCTGAATGTCAACGTCACCTATTTGCCTCAATTGCTTGCTGTCGAGGAGATAATTCGGTTCATATTTGATCGTAACAATTGCCTGCTGCCCGCCTATTTCATAGCTAATGAAATAATGCGACCATTCCCCTATCACTGGAAACTAAACAAACTGATGACTGATTTTGTTGAAGAGTTTCGTGCTACAGCTCAAATGGTATCGATCATTGGACATGCACATATGCTGCCCATTGTCGAGCATTTTGGCTATGCTGACCACTTGATGAACTCATGGCGACTGGATCACAACAGTTTGAAGTTCAACTTTAAAGGTAGTTTGCCGTATGAGCCAGAATTGCTGGAGGATCAAACGCCTCTATTGCGCTATGTGCTAGAGCAACCCTATTCGCGCGAAATGGTTTCAGTCATGTTGAATTTACAAAAACATCAGAAGCAGCGTTACAATGCGCTGGAAGAGCAATTGGTCAATCTAATAATACATGCCATGGAAATGACGGAATCGAATGATGCCACTGCAGGCAGTGGCTTCAATGCAACCGACGAGCAGATCTCGCATAACGAATGGGTGTGGCTACATCTCTCCTCGCAGCTGATTTACTTTGTGCTCTTTCAGTTTGTCAGCTTCATGCACATTGTGCTGGCTCTGCACGAAAAGGTAAGAGATGCGATCTTAAGATGTAATTCAATATTTATATATTCTGTTACTTTATTTAGCTATCCAAGCTAGAGCTGCGCAAGGGTCGCGATCAGCTGATGTGGATACTGCTTCAGTTCATCTCAGGCAGCATACAAAAGAATCCCGTGAGTGTAGCCGACTATGCTCTCAATATAGTTTCTTTATGTATTAATTTCTTCCTTGCAGATCACAAACTTTTTACCTGTCTTTAGACTTTTTGATCTACTTTATCCGGAGCAGGAACCTCTTAAACTGCCTGACTACAACAAGTCTTCCCTGGTGCGACACATGGCGCCCATTTGCATCTGGATACATTTAATGAAAAAGGCACGAGTTGAGAATATGAACATCACACGGCCCTTGCCGATTGCGCTTAAAAATCATCATGAGTGAGTTTGTGACTCTCTATTTAGCTATTTTCGTTTAAATACAATTCTTTTGTAGTTTCCTGCAGCATCTGGTAGCGCCAAATAATATGATGAATGTCACATTGGGCAATGATTTTCGTATTATACTCATCTGCAATGCATACTCCACGAATCAGGATTACTTTGCGCGACACATGAATGTTCTGCTGGACGCTATGAATGGCAATGCGAAGACAGCAAATGGCACTCCGATTCCTGCGGTCACTTATTCCGTCTCGGTGCTCGACAGTCTGACGGTGCACAGCAAAATGTCACTAATTCACAGCTTTGTCACGCAAATGCTTAAACAGGCGCAGAGCAAGACCCTAGTGCCAGCGCCTGCACTTATTGAAACATATGCTAGATTGCTAGTTTACACTGAGATTGAGTCGCTGGGCATTAAGGGATTCCTAAGTGAGTTGGTTAGGAGCTATACGTATCTATAATATAAACTATATATATATTTTTTTTGTTCCCATAGCTCAATTGCTGCCAACTGTATTCAAGAATCATGCCTGGGCTATGCTGCACACGCTAATGGAAATGTTCTCTTATCGACTGCATCATGTGCCCACACATTATCGCGTGCAATTGCTCTCATTGCTCTACTCGCTTTCCTCCGTGCCGCAGACCAATAAGATGCAATTGAATCTATGGTAGGTGTGCAAATCTCAAATTACTTTTCTATTATACTAATTGAATTTTGCGTAGCTTTGAATCGACCGCATTGCGTTTGATTACCAGCATTGGTTCTGCTGAGTTTCAGTCACAGTTCTCACGGTATATGAATGACAAGTCACCAGGTGGCGCGGCATCAAATGAAAGCGAGGAGCTTAATCGTGTACTCATCTTGACGCTGGCTCGTTCCATGCACGTTCATGGCGGCGGTGATGAATTGGCCGGCTGGTGCAAGGATTTTCTATCCAACATAATGCAGCACACGCCCCATTCATGGCCCGTACAGTCGCTAGCATGCTTCCCGCACGCACTGAACGAGTATTTCCTACAGAACAATCATCCGGCTGAGAATAAACAGCAGCTGAAAAAGTCCGTGGAGGAGGAGTATCGTAATTGGACATCCATGTCCAATGAGAACGACATTATTGCTCACTTCATCAGACCCAATACAAATCCTTTGTTTTTGTGCCTGCTTTTTAAGATCATCTGGGAAACGGAGAGTATCAGTCCCGTGGCATACAAGTAAGTCGCTATTAATTTAGTCTCCTCTAAACATCCTTTTTAATGCTTTACTCTGCTTGCTAAAAAAGAATTCTGGAGGGCATCAGCGCACGCGCCTTGTCCACTCATCTGCGCAAGTTCTGCGATTATTTGGTTGCCGAAGTGGCCAGCTCTTCGGATGGTCGCGACTTTATCCACAAATGTGTGGATACTATCAATAATATGATCTGGAAATTTAATGTGGTGACCATAGATCGGCTTGTCCTCTGCCTGGCTCTGCGCACACATGAAGGCAACGAGGCGCAGGTCTGTTTGATCATAATTCAACTTTTGCTGTTAAAAGCGTCTGAGCTGCGCAATCGAGTGCAAGAGTTCTGCAAGGACAATAATCCTGATCATTGGAAGCAAAGCAATTGGTAAATTTATCTCTTTGAAACCAAAGTTAAATTTAAGTTCAATTTCTTTCAACATTTTGCTGGCAGGCATGAGAAGCATCTGCAATTTCATCAGAACTATCCCGAGAAATTCGCACCGGATGAGAGTGCATCGCAAATTCCACTGCCCGTTTACTTCAGCAATGTGTGTCTACGTTTTCTGCCAGTTCTAGACGTGGTGGTACATCGCTTTATTGAGCTAACTATACCGAATGTGCATCAAATCCTGGGCATTATATTGGATCATTTGAGTATACTCTATAAATTTCATGGTAAGTCTCCAAGCTCCATTTCCTCTTATTTAATTTTTTAACCTATTTCTCTTGCTTGTAGATCGTCCTATTACCTATTTGTATAATACATTGCACTATTATGAGCGTATTCTGCGCGATCGTCTGCCTCTCAAGAAGAAGCTGGTAAGTCGCCTCTTAAAGCTCAGTCGAAATTTCTATTTCAATACATTTTCCCACAACAGGTTAGCACTATAACAAGCGCCTTTAGCGAGATACGTCCAGCCAATTGGAGTGTGAGCGAGCCATATAAGGTATATCTGCAGAGTCAAGATCCACTATGGACGCCTGATCTGAGCTACTACATGAATCTCATCAGACGGCTAGCAGACAGTGAGTAGAGCTCTGAAAGTACTGGAACCACACAGAACTGTTCATTAATCTAACTCCATTTATCACAATCAGCTATCAGTGGCAAAAACGTCTTCTACACCACCGATTGGCGTTTCAATGAGTTTCCCAATGCACCCACTCATGCGCTCTATGTGACCTGTGTGGAGTTGCTTGGCCTGCCTCTGGCGCCCTCTGTGGTTGCGGGCAACATAATCGATGTGATTGTCAATGGCTATGCGGTGATACCGCAAAAAGAGATACACAGCTATATCAATGCAGTCGGCATTGTGTTGGCTGCTCTGCCGGAGCCATACTGGAGTGGGATATACGATCGACTGCAGGATATGCTGAACACGCCCAACATGCTCAACTGGACATACCGATTCAATGCCTTTGAGTTGTTCAACTTTAAGACTGTGCGTGAGGCCATGCTGGAGAAGAGCTATGCTGTTGTCTTGGCCGTGGCGCACGCTGTTTTCCATCACATGGGCGCCTTTAAGTTGGCAGCCATGACCCGATACATCAAGGAGAAACTGAAGCCTTGTGTGCGCACCGAACATCAGTTGCTCTATCTATGTCATGTCTTCGGACCATTCCTGCAGCGCATCGAACAGGAGAAACCGAACGCAGTGGCGGGCATTGCTATATTCCTCTATGAAATGCTGGAAAATGTGGACAAACAGCATGGACCCAAGCCCTTGGAGTATATGGATCAGATCTGTGATTTCCTGTAAGCAATTGATCAGACGATGTGGATTATACATGCTAATAGTTGTTATTTCTATGTAGATATCACATTAAGTACATTCACGTTGGCAATATTATCAAAAACGAATCAGAGGCCATTATCAAGAAGTTGCGACCGCAGTTGCA